CCTCTTGAACCTCGCCAATAGAAGAGGATGCCTCATGACAATGTACCCGCTCCACCCCCACCTCCACTACGAGCGGCTCCACACCGGGTATTACCCAATGAAGGATATGATAGTGCAATAGTCCGTCCCCGTATTAGGGCGGGCAATTTCCAAATTATCAATGTAATGCTCACTTTGCTTGAGAACCGGGTTTCTTCACCGGTGCTCCAACTCAAAATGCGTATAAACATTTGAAGGGGTTTGTGAATACTTGTTGGGGGAGCAAACAAACAAATGTCTCCGAGGATGCATTGAGGCTAAGGCTTTTTCCCTTCTCTCTACGGGGGAAAGTTTTAGATTGGTTGGAATGATTACCGAACCATTCCATTCACAATTGGGATGAGTTGGCCAAAAAAATTTATTACTACGTTCTTCTCTCCCAGGCACATGGCTACACTTCAAGATGAGATTTTGGCATTCAAGTAAGAGCCGAATGAACCATTACATGAGATATGGGAGCGCTATAGAACTATGAACCATTCTTAATGTTTCTGTCTTAAAAATAGATATAAGTTTTCTATGTGTCTCGAAAATTTATTTCCCTCATTTTTAAATTTTTTAATATTTACCCACAATTTTTTCTATTTTTAATTTGACCCCAACCCCCTTTAATCACCTTCTTTTGGCTAACCAAAAAATGTGTCTCAAATTCTTACATAAGACTTCAAATGTATTGGGGTCAGATTAAAAATATGAAAACTTATGGGTAAAAATTAAATATTTAAAAATTTAATAAGACTCGCACCCATTCAAATTTTTTTAAATTTTCATTTTCCTCCTTTTTCTCCTCTCCACTTTTTCTTCTTCTCCTTCTTTCTTCTTTCTCTTCCTTATTCTCTTATTCTTCTTCCTTATTTTTTTTTTCTCTTATACGTTCGTTGTTGCTGCTGCTTTGTCTCTGTCATCTTCTTCTTCATTTTCTTCTTTGTCTTTCTCTTCATCTCCCTCTTCATCTTAAAAAAATATGAAATTTTACAAAGTGAGTATTGTACAAAACATCCCACGAGATATTTTGAAATATCCCCATGATGAGTATTTTTCAAAATATCCTGAGAGATGTGTGAAACATCCCAAGAATGTTTGAAACATCTTTCAGGATGTGCTTCTTCCTTTTTTTTAGTAGTTTGAAATGCGAGAGAATTTTTTTTGGGGAAACATCTCCTTGTATGTTTCAGACATCTCACTAGATATTTGGAACATCTCCACAAATGTTTGAAACATCTCACTAGATGTTTGAAACATCTCCCTAAATATTTGAGGATAAGGAGCGGCTGGAGGATAGAGAGGAGCATTGCCAGATAGAGGAACAAGAGGAGGAGGAGGAGGAGTGGCAGGAAGAGGAGGAATGGGGGGGCGGGGGGGGAGAGGTTTATGGTAGATAAAAAATGTCATTAATATAAATTATAAAAATGTCCCTCCCAGTGTTTTGAAAAGCGAGCGCTTCATCGCTTTAAGCGCGAAGCGAGGCGAAGCGAGAAGCTGTCGCTTTTCCTTACTGAAGCGACATGACCAGCAGAAGCGATCGCTTCAGCCAAAAAAGCGAGAAGCGACCCAAAAGCGAGAAGCGCAGAAGCGCTCGCTTTTGTTAAGAGGGGCCATTTTGAAAAAGAAAAAAGTTTGGGTCTTTCTTTTTGTTATACAAAACAGACCCAAAGTGAAAAGACCTTCTTTGTCTTGCCAAAAATTGAGCGTTAGCAGCAGCAGCCAACTAGGGTTCAGCCTCCAGGTAATTTTTCTCTTTTATTCTTCTTTCTTCTTCTTCTTCTGATGAACGTTAGCAGCAGCAGCCAACTAGGGTTCAGCCTCTAGGTAATTTTTCATCTTTTATTCTTCTTCTCTCTCCTCTTTTTCAGTTTTTCTCGACCAGTGTCTGCGCTAGGGCAGGCGTTGGTTTTTCCCCCCTTTTATTCTTCTTATTTATTAATTTTAATATGTATTTTAGTTTATAAAATTAATTATTTTATATATATATATATATATATTATTTTCAGTTTATTTGATTTGTTTAATGTGTGTTTCAGTTTCTAAAATTAATTATTACTATATATTATGTTATATTTTCAGTTTATTTGATTAATTTTATATGTACTTCAGTTTATAAAATTAATTATATATATATGTTATATTTTCAGTTTATTTGATTAATTTTATATGTATTTTCAGTTTATAAAATTAATTATTATTATATATATATATATGTGTTATATTTTCAGTTTATTTGATTTTTTAATGGGTATTTCAGTTTATAAAATTAATTATTATATATATGTTATATTTTCAGTTTATTTGGTTAATTTTATATGCATTTTCAGTTTATAAAATTAATTATTATATATATATATATATATGATATGTTATATTTTCAGTTTATTTGAATTTTTTAATGTGTATTTCAGTTTATAAAATTAATTATTATATATATGTTATATTTTCAGTTTATTTGATTAATTTTATATGTATTTTCAGTTTATTTGATTATGTATTTTCTTATATTAATAGGGATTTAAAAATGTCCCAAAGTTTTTGAATTGAATTTTTGGATTATTTATATTGTGTCTTTGCACTGTTTACATTATGTTTTTTAAAAATTGCGCTTCACTTCAATGAAGCGTGCGCTTCGCTTTTGAAGCGAGGCGAGCCCCTGTCGCTTTATTGCGCTTCTCGCTCTCAAAAACACTGGTCCCTCCTACCCTATTCCTAACACTTTTGTCTTATAAATTGATATAAGTTTTCAAGTATCTCAAAAATTTAGTTCCCCATTTTTGAAAATTTGAATACTTACCTACAACTTTTTCTATTTTTAATTTGACCCCAACCTCCTTTAATCACCCTTCTTTTGTTAACCAAAAAATGCGTCCCACATTCTTACACAAGATTTCAAGTATGTTGGGGTCAGATTAAAAATAGAAAAAGTTGTGGGTAAATATTAAAACTTTTAAAAATTTAAAAAGACCCACACCCATTCAACTTATTTTAAATTTTCATTTCCCTCTTATTTCTCCTCCTCCTCATCCTCCTCCTCCTCCTCCTCCTTCTTCTTCTTCTTCTTCTTCTTCTTCTTCTTCTTCTTCTTCTTCTTCTTCTTCTTCTTCTTCCCCCTATTTTCTTATTTCTCTTCAACTTTTGTTGCTGCTGGGTGCTTTGTCGATATTATCTTCTTCTTCTTCTTCTTCTTCTTCTTCTTCTTCTTCTTCTTCTCCCTCTTCATCGTCTTTTTCCTTCTTCTTTTTTCTAGTGGTTTAAAATATGCGAGAGAAAGAGAAAAATGTGACATTTCAGAAAGTGAGTATTCTACAAAACATCCCTCGAGATATTTTGAAATATCGCAGGATGAGTATTTTTCAAAATATCCCGAGAGATGTTTGGAACATCCCTCGGGATGTTTTATCTCAGGATATTTCTTTTGCTTTTTCCTTTTCTCTAGTAGTTTGAAATGTGAGAGAAAAAAAAATGATAAATTTGGTGAACACCTCCTTGTATCTTTCAGGCATCTCCACAGATGTTTGAAACATCTCACTAGATGTTTGAAACATCTCTCTAAATATTTGAGGATAAGGAGTGGCTGGAGGATAGAGAAGAGCATTTCGAGATAAGAACAAGGGGAAGAGGAGGAGGGGAAGAGTGGGAGGAGGAATAGGGGGTGGAGGAGGAGGGGGATTTTATGTAAATAAGAAAACTTTGGGGTTTTTAAAAATTATGTCATTAATACTAATTATAAAAGTATCCCTCCTACCCCATTCTTAATACTTTTGTCTTAAAAATTGATATAAGTTTTTAAGTGTCTCAAAAATTTAGTTACCCCGAGTGAGAAGCGGATGAAAAGAGAGAATTAGGTCTAGTAACTTGAGTTGGTTTAATGAATGAAAAAACTTTTATATGTTATACACAATATGGGCTATTTCAGGTTTGAAAAAAAAAAGGATATGGGCTTAAATGAGTAGGAAAAGCATCCAATATGTTTTTTCTTGTAATTTTTTCATTTAATAAAAAAGAAGGACAAGACTCCCTTAATGTCGAGGGTAACTGGTAAATTAGACACAAAATATAATAGAAGGAGAAGTTAGATCAAATTTTATCCTTTCCCCTATTTTATTTTACTATGATATAGTTTTTATATTTCTTTACATCGTAGGCAATCTGAGAAATGCCAAGGATACCAATTTGGAATTTCACACTTTGGATTGTGGTATTTTCACAAGTTGATGTCAACTTAGTTTTCTCTGCATATATTGATAAAAGTGATGTCGGAGTTAATTTGTGCACGTGGGTATTAGGTACTCGTTATTACCCGTGTTTTTCTCACATTTCACTAATTGTTAGGAAACATTTTGGAGTGCTCTATTGCTCTTCAATAGTTTTTCACCTACTTTTAAAATTTGCTCAATTACCATGAGGATTTTTTGTTTTTAGAAAGAAAAACTTTCATAATATTTAAGGATCGGAAAAGGACAATTGAATAATAAAATCGAATTCCACACACATCGTGTGAGAAATTTTCATTAATATCACCGGACTATAAACCTTGATGCTACTAATATCACTAGACCATAACCCTTCCTACATCTACCCTTGGTTACTAAAAATAGATTTTTTTTTTTTCTTTCTCATTTCTTTTTACTTTAAAGTGCTGGCAAAATTCTTCACCCATAGCCACAACGTATCCATGCTGCCTCCATGGGAGTTCGGGTCGTGTCTCAATCTGAGCATGACCAATTATCAGAAAAGACTAGTTAAACATCATTGACTTGATCAACCTTTACTTTACCCCCAATGCCCGTCATGGGAAGGTTCATTCCCTACTCTTAATTTGCTTGGAGACAATACTCCATGAAAAAGAAAAACCAACTCAAAATGAAATTATCTTTGCTAGAAAACGCCTACCCCAAAAGTGAGATTTTCTGGCGCTAATCCGATTTAGCCAAGCCCCAAAACGGGTGCTAATACCAGGTGGGAAACCAAAATAAAAAAGCTATAGACTAGCACAATTAAAACAAACAGAAAAGGGAATTTGTGTATCTGAAAACTCCTAGTTGAGGGAGGGTGCTTTGGACACATCTAATATCTACTAGTACTGTCATTCTTGCAGCATGTATTAAAAAGATTATTAGTGCCCCACGAATTAAAAGAACTGTACATATGAAAGAATATACTCCTATCTCCTCCCACTGATGACCAGTCTCTGCAACACTTTAGGTGCTAAATAGACCGGAACGATGACATCCTGCTCAGCCTCTCCTTGGTTGGGGTCTATTTCCATAAATGATATTTCGCTCATCCCATATTGGGCAGGAACATGTTGGTTTCTTGTTCTTCCACTCAGCTCCGCATGTATAACAGAACTCGTGACCACATCTGGGAAAACATTTGAAGTATTCACTGTCAAAAACTTAGCTCTTGCAACATAAATGAATCATAAGTCAGCCACCTCTAAGAATAGATATAAAGTTCCGCACAAATTTTACATGATAAGGATAGGAAGTAAACCGGCATACTTAACATAGTTTCAGAGCATAAAATCTTTTGGAGAACAGAGACAATAAGAACAGCGGTAGAACAGCAATGCAGCCAACAGCCCAACCAAACACTTCACAGATCAAGGATCACATTAAGCAAAATGTTTTCACATAATTATGTTTCCCAACCCATTAGTTAACACTAGTGAAGTCTGCGCCCAAGCCAAAGACAAGAAAATTTGTACGAGGCAATGCGATACTCTCCTTTTCTTTTTCTAATATTTGATTAGTCCCAGAAATAGTTTGTTGTAGACAGCCAACCAAGGAAATAACTCTACATCGCTAAATCAATGTGATTAAAAGTAGCTTCATGAAGTAGGAAAAACCTAGAAGACAGCAAAGCATTATCAGCGGATTGAACAACCAATGAAGTTTGACTAGAGTTTTTTTTTCTCCTTTTTTGGCAAGAGTTGATATTTAAACGAGACAAACAAATTCAAACAGCAATCTCTGCCAATTCAGTTAATAAATTATGGTAATGCATCGCCATAATAACAGTAGTATAACTTAAAGAAAATGAAAATCGTGAGACGTTTACTGAAGGTGGAGTAAAGAAAAGGAAAAAAACTAATATGTGTAGTTTTGCATCTCGGTGGCATAAAGATACAGAGAAAGTTGAACTCAGCTCCATAACTTAGTTGTTAGACCAACGGACTATTTGAGATGCTAGCATCAGAAAGTCCTCTCAGTTCAGTTGCATCGTAATAGCTAATTCCTCTTAGTTATTTACACTCAACTCAATGTTACAGGCTCTGTAGATCTGCTAATGACCTGGATCAAACGGAAAGTTTAGAACTCTTCACAGTGGAAACATGCTCATAAGACAACTAGAGAATTAATACTCACCAACTACTTCATAAAAGAAAAATAGTCACCAACTCAAATCTTTTGAACTTGCTTGTGTGTAGCTACCTAGATTGTACCTGTCCTATTTTGAAACATAAATTGCCTACCAAAAAGATCAAAGAAATAATAAAATTTCCTCAAGAAGACAACAGATAATGTAAACTCCGTACACCTACTTCCACTAATATAAAAAATTTCAAATGCCCTTAGACTCGGGTAGAGATACCTAGATCCTTTCATTTCATGAATAAAATAAACAGTTGTGAAAAAATTCAAAGCAGCCAAAGAGAAAAATGATCAACTTTACCTGTGCATTTAACTTCTACTAGATCTTTCAGTTTTTGCTCTGGAGGTGGGATTTAGTCCTAATACCTTCCCCTCCTACCTTTTGGTCTTGTCTTGCAAGTCCAAAGGATTTCTGCATAATTACAAGATTTGTGGGAGAGACTCGTATTATCCAGATCTATTGATTGGAGATAAAGCCTATTTGTACTTTTCTCTCTACATGGTTGTTTGCAAACTGGATAGTTCTTCACAATTAAGAAGTAAAATACAAGCCCACAAGGATGGAAGACTACTAAATTACATAAATTTGGCAAAGATCAAAGGCTTTGTATGTATAAAGCAAGAGCACAAATCCTGGCATAGATGGTCTGCCATCTAAGTATGATATTGTCCAGGTCCTCTCTGTCCTCTTTTTTAATTTTATTTATAATTGATAAGGTAAGATTTTGTTAAAACAAAAACAGTATCAACCTGATACTGGCGAATTATCAAAAAGGAAGCTAGACTTGATTGCATCAGCTTCCTTTCATCCTCTTTGTTACCTCTTTGGTCTTTAGTGAGTTGCTGCCATATATCTTCATTTAATGAGGTCCAATAAGTATTTAAGGTGTTTCATTATATGCTATAACACAAAAAGATTTTATGGATGAAATGTGCAAGTCATATCGGTTAAGATTTATTGAATTCTTTTCTTTTTTTAAAATGTATATGAACATTTTATTAAAGAATAGCACCCGGAGAGCGCAATGGATGAATATTACAACCCCTTGAAAATGCATCTTAGAGACCTCGATCCAAGTCCTACCGCCACCCAATATCAAAAAGAATTTCCACGTGTTTGGTTCATGAAAAAAGAATCAACTCCACATATGAGGAAGAGTGTTGGACATAATTAAGTAAATAAAATGTACTTTCTTTAATACTTTAAGTTTTAGCTTAGACTATTTGATGAGATGGTCACACACTTCAATATCTATATTATATTAAAAGCACGAAGGCCCTTAGCAAAATGTCGTTCGTCTATTTTACCCTCTAAAAATAGAGTTCACACTAAACAAAATAGTTTTTACTAATATTAGGATTTATTTTCGTAATATTTAGGACTTTAAAATAAACTAAAATTATTAAATCTTTCCTTATTTGAACTATGTTATGATCCTAATATTTATGACTTTAAAATTCATTAAGATTTGACCCTATATAAATTATTTCCTTGTTTAAAGTATATAATATAACTATAATACCTTGCATATTAATTTTCTAATAATTAATACTTCGAAATCAACTTTTACATAAAAGAATTTATTTGAAACTTAGGGACAATTAAGTTATGTACGGAGTTAAAAAAACATTCCTAAAATACTAGGTAAACAAAGAAAAAGTTAAAAAGAATATGTCCCCAAAATTTTCAAACGAAAATAAAAAAGGAAGGCAACTAATAATAGAATCATAATGCATATGACTCTAGGATTCTATAAATTTTCTTATAGAAATTCTAGGAATGTATAATTTATCTTTTCTCATCACGAAATTTATATAGAGAAATTAAAATATCTTTTATCTTCAGCTGTTATACATAATGTTGTTGATTTTTTTACACTTAATTGCATAATTTTAGCCATACAATCTAGACTTTGTCTTAATCAACATTTTCATAGTCGCATAAAAAGTTTCTTTTCCAATACTTTGAATAATTAATGTTCTTGGGGATGAGTGATTTAACATCACTTTTTTAACACTACCTACGCACATTAATTCAAATTTAATATATAAATATGCATGTGAATCGTGCGTGTATATATTATTATTTTAGATTTCTAACATTTGAGGTACATTTTTCAACAGAAAAATTGATGTAAATTATGACCACATATATTACAATAGAGTGAACGTAAAAAGATATTTGTTATTTTTCATTTTGCTGTAAACCTGATAGTTAATTAATCGAAAATGTGGCATTCATGTTGTTTAGTGAAATTTAATAATATGTGAATAATTCAATAAGGAATTAGGCGGGTTTTGTGATGTAAGATTTCTTCCTTTACTGAGTTAATTAAATAATATTCATTATTTTCAGGACTTGAATTTTTTCCATTAATTTTTCATACTACTTAAATATATTCTTTAATAATATCTATGTGACTTTAAAAAATATATATTCATTAATAAGGGTGCATGCAATGCACGTACCCAAAGACTAGTAATATCAAATAAGGGAAGGGTACTAGGTTCAAGTCCCACTGCCACCTATTATTAAAAAGAATTTTCACATGCTTGGACTATTTAAAAGAATTAAGCCGCACGTACAAGGGGTTGTTCAAGACATAAGTAAATAAAATGTTCTCTCTCTAACAGTTTAAGCTTTAGCATAAGCTTCTTTCTTAAAGAAAATCAAATAAGTTTTAGAGTAAGCTTCTTTCTTAAAGAAAATGAAATAAGCTTTAGCGAAAGCCTTTAGATGAGAACGTCACACAATTTAGCGAGTCTTTTTTTTTTAGTAAGTAACGATATTTATTAAAAAGGTACTAAGATGGTACATAAAAAGGTACAGAAACAATTCAGCAAGCTTTGTACTCTCTTTTCCTATTAGTTATTGATATAACTACACTTTTCCAACACATGCCACCCTTAATAGCATCATGTTTTTTCCTCGACATAACTCCTATACGTGCAAATTTTATCTTCCTGCTCTTTCCTTAAGGCACTGAAACACTGCCAATCTAAACAGCATTACCTTCTAGCAGATCGAACAAATTGTAAAAGTTCTCTTACCGATCAATTTCTAACTTCTTCTACACCCAGAAGTAAACTTCAGGAAAGAAATATAGTCTAGCAAGGAGAAACGAGAAAACTGCCCCCCCCCCCCCCGAATTTCCATGCCATGCAGCTAACCAGGATATGATGAGGATACAATACGCATTCAATACCTAAATAGGAGCACCCTTGCGCAAATGAAAACCGGAGAGGTTGGCTGGAAGCATTGAAATTCTACCTTATTGGCATGCGTAACTAAAATGTCTTTATATTTCTTAGTTAGAAGAAGAAAGAACAAGATAAATATGCAAAATCTAAAAAAGGCTAAAGTTTCCTTTATTTCTATTTTTTCTTTTCATTTGTTAGATAATAAGGATTTTACGTCTCTTTTTGCTAGGGCAACAGAAATTCTACATAATCAGCTATGAATTTTTTATCCTACTGGTGTCGAGACAAATTCAGAAAGAAAAGACATCGATGGTGTGTCCATATCCTATATCTTTAATTGTTTGTGTTTGTATCCTACATCCCAAAGGCGCTTTTCTTTTTGTGATAAGCCATGTTCGAGATGTGTTTCCTGTCACACAAAATGAGATCTATATGCTTCTTAAGAGATTGACGTAACAAGTCCAACTTGGTCACGAATAATGAATGGAGTGAAAACAACTCTAAAGCGATATTTCACACTTGTGAAAATAAGCGCTTTCTGCTTTAATAAAACAAAGGCAGCTATAGGGTGTGTTTGGTATGAAGGAAATGTTTTTCAATTTTTCCATGTTTGGGTGGCTTAAATATTTTGGAAAATTTTTTCCTCATAAACTCATTTTCCTCCAAAAGGAAGAAAAATATTTTTAAAACTCTTGCTCAACCTCCCCCCCCCCCCCCTCCCAACATCGGCACTACCACTCCAGCCCTTAGATCCCGACCTACCACCCTTCCCCACTCTTACCTATTTCGTCTCATATGAGGTTTGCCTAAATTATATATTTTACAAAAATATTTTCTACTACCTAACCAAACACCGAAAAATAAGTAAGGAAACCACTTTTTCTAAGAAAACATTCTAATACCAAACACATCCATAACTTTCATGATAATCTTTTCTAAACTCCGCCAAAGTGTCAATTGCTGGAAAATCACATACTACATGCACAGAACACCATTAAACAAAATGAAAAAAAAGGGGAGCGAATGGTGCAAAGTCGGTGAATTGGAGCTTACTGAGGTGCAACCTAGAAGCACAACCCAAGCAAAAACGAATAAGTTGTGGCAATTTTGAGGAGAAAATAGTAATACGGAAGGAGAAAACAAAAGAAATTGGAAGGAAACAGGAAAATAAAACTTAAAATGAACTAAAACGGGTTGAGTCGGAGAACGAAAGGAATTCACACGAATGGGCCCAGAGCAAGCTGGTCCGCACACAAACACTAATAGCACCAATCTAAGTGGGGCGGTCCATCTTTTAAAGTAGAGGATACGGAGGGATTCGGGCAAAACAGCGCGGCAGATAAAACAAACTTACAGCATGATAGGACTGTACAGTCTAAAGCACACAATTACAGGAAATACCAGAAATATTCTTTGAAGCCGGATAAGGTGCACTCGCTTCTTTGCAGTTATATGTCATAGTAAAAGTAATATGTACTATGGATTTTATTATCCCAACCAGTATGTAACATTAAATGACTACATTTATATGTTTCTGTTTCAAGTTATCCCTGTTTATTGCGCCCCCTTAAAACAGATGCTCTTTCCCTTCTCCATCGGCAGCGGTAAAAATGTTTATAACCTAAAAAGACATGAGAAGAACTTCATACATAAAAAGTTCTATCATGAACAGTGGCATGTATCTGACTTGTAAGTCCAGCTATCTTGACAAAATTTGACAGCTTCACCCAAAATTTTGAAAATTCGGTAAGGAATAACGGAGAGAGAAGTTCAGAGAAAAAAATTAAAACATTCAAGTAAATCTAGAATCTTATTTTTGATTTTCTTTTAATAAATCTCGAATCTAATCTTTCTTTTCCAAGTCAGACTGCTTACTTCATGATTTCCACTCTGGATCTCACCAATATCTTGAGTATATGATGTTTTGGCGCAACTAACCAGCTTAATAGCTAATAAAAAGCCACATTTTGTGTGGCTTATGAAAATATTCTACAATCAACACAAAAGCTGATTTAAGCTACAAAGCTGCAATATTCTTTTCTTCAGCTTATAGTCTATCCCTTAAAGCAGCACCAAACAGTCAACATGTTGTTCATAAATCGTAGATTACCCATAAATGCGAGAAGTTTAAACGTCAAGGTGGAGGACAACAAAGATATGTTTCTACACAATCGTCAACAGTGTCAAAACCTTTCTATACAAGGAAAAAAAAGGTGTATATATAGCTTCAACTTATGCTACAAATCACATTATGTTGACTTATATTTTCCCTTTTAAATGAAAACATAGGGAATGAATTAAAGCCAAGCTTCTATAATCTTAAGCTGTTGTGAAGCATTCCAAAAAGTTATCTCTTCCTTATTACCTAATCAAGACAGTGTATATCATGTAAGACAACAATATAAGAAGGAAGGAGAAGCTGAGAACCTGCAGTAAATATGGTAGCAACCTTCCCCAAGAGACACTATGTGGTTGCACTTTACACACTGACGCCAAAGACTCTTTGTGGCAAGAGACTTGAGCTTTACATCGTCTACGCACAAGTAAGGATTAAGTCTTCTATAGTCAAAGCAAGTCATGTTTTGATGCCAAGGAACTCTGCAATTGATACAGAAATGGAGACGGCATTTCGTGCACATTCTAGCCCCAACTTGCTCGTTTCCCACAAAGGCATTTGGAGCAGTAATTTGGACCTCAGATTTTGACATCAATGTAGAACACTTAGGATTTGGGCAGTAAATCTTTTCCGTGATAGGAATAGTAGTTTCCTTGACACGTTCATTCATCAAATCATATAGCTTGGGCGTCAAGAACTTTTTGCAGTTATCTATTTTCAACCCAGACTTGCATTTATCATGAGGGCATTCAGGTAGCATTCCTTGAAGGAGTTTAGCTTCCACATGTTTATTCATACAAGAAAAGCAATAATAATGCAGGCAACCATTAATTAGAAACATATGATCTACATCAGTATCTTGCAGACATATAGTACAAGTCTCGGTGATGCTCTTTTGAAGACTACTTTCTGCTGGTCCTCTAACCTGAGAGACTATTGCATCAGTAGCAAGTTTAATTGCAAAGTTGACGGTATTCTGTGACACAAGAGATGGTACACAATCTGTAAATTTTCTTAGATGAGAAGTTGCTTGTTCAACAAGTGCAATAACATTACCGTTCCTCGGATGCAACTTGCCCCTAACCTGCATAACATATATACATCAATCATTCCAAAAACTTTTAGGTTGCAGTATATAAGCCTACATAGTGTGACATGTTTCCAACGCCAACAATAAGTAACCCATCCAATAGTATTTGGATACTACAATACCAAAAAATCGTTATTTTACCCAAAATAACCTTGACTCTCACCTATTTACTCTAGCTTCTGCCAAATTGTACTAGGTTCCGGCATCTCTAGTACCCTGATTTAATATATTTTTACGACATAGGAAAAAGACTACTTAAAACTGTTCTAACACATTGAAAAATGTCAAATATTAGAATATAATAATTTGTCACACAAGATAAACATAACTGATATCGTATTAAATTTTCGCATCAATTAAGGTGTCAAGAAGACTCACATATTGCAAGATAGTTTGACTATCCAAAACAACATTAACCCTTTTCAAACCCAACATTACAGCAACATCAAGCCCTTCAATCAGCGCTTTCAGCTCCACAATTTCATCATTCAACACTTCAGTAGTGCTTTCACCCAAACCCTTACTCACTTCAAACACCAAAATACCACTGGGATCACACACAGCAACCCCAATCCCAGCGAGTTGTTGTTGTTGTTTGGTTCCCACAACCACAGCAACACTCTCTTCTTCAACCTCTTCTCCCATTAAACCCTTCACATAAACCCTAAAACAATCCTCATTCCCATTTTGGGCCCCACCTTTCGATGAACCCTCACCGTACGGCCTATGCAAATGATCCCCCGTCTCTTTCCACTCGCCCTCCGGCACGCTTTGTATCTCACGCGCGAAGGCCTGATCGTGGATTCGACGGTTGAGATCGTCTTCGATTTTCTTCATCTCCGCTTCGGCTGTTTGACGGTCGTGAAATTGTTGTTCGTAGTTTAACAATTCCTCGGAGAAAAGAGTGGTGACATCGTTACTTCCGATGATGCTTTCACCGTTAATGGCCGGTTTTGAATTTGAAGCGCTCATAGCCTCTTGCATTTGAAGTTGAAAGGCGAAGAGGAGATCGCCATCGACGGTTTCAGCGGCGGCTATTTCACGGCGTTGTTCGTCGAGTAGGGCGTGAAGATCGTCGTCGACTTGCATTTTTTTCTTTTTTGGCGCCGAAACGAAGTTGAAGAGCTTTTTACTTGCTTTGTTTTTCACTGTGGAGCCTTTGCTCTGTCACTTTTTGTTCTCTCTCCACACCTTTTTTGACCACGAATACTTGCTTAGGGTGTGTTATTTGCCTATTTGGGACTAGGAATTTCTTTTTTTCTTTTTGGTAATTAGGAATTTTATTCATTACCCATATCTGTACAAAATTATAGCCTAGCCAACACAACTTCTAGTCTGTTTGGCCAAGTTTTTTTTGGCCAAAAGTATTTTTTTTTTGCCAAAAGTATTTTTGGCCAAAATTTGAGGTGTTTGGCCAAGCTTTTGGAAGAAAAAAAAAGTATTTTTGAGGAGAAGCAGAAGCAGTTTTGGAGAAGCAGAAAAAAGTAGCTTCTCTCCAAAAGCACTTTTCTGAGAAGCACTTTTGAAAAAAATACACTTAGAAGCAGTTTTCAAAAGCTTGGCCAAACACTAATTACTGCTCAAAAGTGATTTTTTAATTAATTAGCCAAACACAAGCTATTTCTCACCGAAAGCACTTTTTTTAAAAGTACTTTTGAGAAAAGCACTTCTCAAAATAAGCTGATTTTAGAAGCTTGGCCAAATGGGCTATAACTATCTTTGAAAAGCCACCTAGTAATTGGAATTTGCATTATTACCGGGATAGTAATTACCCGGCCTAGTAATTACATAACCTAATAATTACGACGACATGTTTGTTTGTCATAACATAATTATAGTGTAATTACACGCGTACTGTTTGGTTGCACAAGTGTAATTACACAATTAGATTAAATTTTAAAATGAAATGATTATCAAAACTTATAAGTTAATATAATAAATATATGCCTATAAATAATTTTTTACATGTATAAATGATATTCGATATGGTATTAAGATGCATATTTTTTCTTGAATTTACACTAATTGGTAATCATATATTTATAATTAATATTGTAAAAATAATTGATATATTTTCTAAATTAATAATATTAAGTTTAATTAATTATAAAAACTAAAAAATACGTTTTGTAAGAATATCATGGAATGCATATTTGATCAAATAAAGTAATATTAAATATAATATCATAATATTATGCAAATATTTGACAAAACTATTCTATCAATTCTAATAAAAAAATTAACAACATGCAATGTAAAATAACAAGTCAATACTACTAAAACAAGTAAATTGGAACCATAAATATAACACAATTTTATAATTCCAAAAAAATAATACTTTAACAAGTTCCAATACCACTTAAGATTAGGAAACATAATAAGTTTATAACCTCATTCAACAACAAAATTCTACTTTAATGGCATCACTCATTATATGTCAAGTTTGTTAATGACTCATTATTTAGAGATTTCTTGGAATCTGTACAAAATCGTTGATACAATAACTTGTCATCGCTAGCTCTATCAATCTTTCGTATGCACTATTACGACCCAAAGAGTTGGCCCATCCATATACCTACTCGAAACCAAGAATGCTTCATTCTAATATTAGGAGGTGTAGTCTCAAACACTAAAAGAATAACGCAATTACGCTAAATGAGGAAAATAAAACGGATAAGAAATAAAATATACGAGCACTTACATGGAATCACAAGAAGTAAAGGTAGAGAAATATAAATAATTTATAAAACAAATATTTTTTAAAATTAAAAAGTAAAAGTAAAATAAAAAATTTAAAAAAAGAAATTAAAATAATGGAAATAAAAGAAAATAAATTAAGATAAAAACAAAAAGGGAAAAATTTATAAGTAACATTGTAATTACACAGTGCAATTACCACCTTAGAATTGGAGAGTGTAATTACATCTCTCCAATTACACCCAATTTCATGTTGACCAAGTAATTATTTGGCCAGACAAACATGTCAAACTATATAATTACTACTCATATCCAATTTTTAAGTGGCTTTCCAAACACACTCTAAACAAACTAGTAGAGATAGCCTAGGCATCGAGGTGAACAAAGCTAAATGTTGTGTGTATCATAGTGTAAAATTTTATTTCATTGCATTTGTCAAGTACTGGATATGTAACAACATCACGACATATTCCAGTCTCAAATTTTTAGCTTGTTAGCGCTCCATCATCTGTAAAGACGATGCCCAACTTATTTACTCTAGGAAATTTGTCCAGCATGTCAAACAAGCTAAATGGGGAATTCGCTTGAGTAAAGTGGAATCGAAAAAATATAAACATTGTGCAAATTAACCTGGATAAGGCATTGATAGACAGGGGCAGAACCAAAGGGTGCAACTAAACCCCCTTCGCCAAAAAATTATACATAATTCTTGTTCCGCCACCGTCGATAGAACGTATGAAAACTGGACCAGGCACTATATTGCATGTCTTGTGTTTTTCTTTAAAAAATTTGCGTCAATAATTGGTCGGAATTATATTGTATTTTTTAAATTGGTATATATAAATTATACACGGATTATATATAATACATATATTACATATTTGTTGGCAATTTTTATAATATAAGCGGTTAGGTGGACGGCTATTTAATTAATTCTTTCTTTTCCTTCGATTTTGCCTATACTTTGAATAGTTAATCAAAAATATAGGTTAGTACTATTGTGTTTTTCCTTCTTGTTCGTGAGATGTTGAATTTATTTTTATAAAAGAAAACAGTCACTTATATTAACTATTTCACAAGATATTATATAAGAATTTTACTAAACATATGGTTCAATATTCAACCGGTCGAGTCAGCCTAAATGTAATGACCCGATAGGTCATCTATAGTTTTAAACCTTAAATTTGTATCGAAGCCTCCGATATCTTCTTTAAGCCTTCATCGATTTGCGTACACAGTCCGGGTGTTTTTCCAGAAGGCTTTTATGTTAAAAATTGATAAAGTAAGAAGTTGAGGGCTTATTGAGATTTGACAAGTTTACCAAGCTCATCCAAGATCACTTTAGTGGTTCACCTTCTGAGGACCCAAAGGATTATCTTGACCGCTGCCATGAGGTGCTGCGGAACATGGGTATAGTTGACACCATGGGGTCAATTTTGATGTGTTTCAGATGACGGGTCCCGCCAAGAGATGGTGGAAGGATTATGTATCTACCAGACGCTGGATCGCCTGCACTTACTTGGGACCTATTCTACCAAATATTTCTAGAGAAGTTCATTCCTATCACATTGAGGGAGGATTACCGCAGGCAGTTTGAGTGTCTCCGGCAGGGCAGTATGTCAGTCACTAAGTACGAGACCCATTTTGTGGACCTAGCCCGTCATGCTCTTCTTCTGCTTCCTACTAGGAGAGAGGGGGTGAGGAGGTTTATTGAGGGACTCACTCACTATCAAGCTACAGATGACCAAGGAGACCGGGAGTGAGATTTCTTTTCAGACGGCTGCTAATGTTGCTAGGCGGATCGAGATAGTTCTTCCACTAGAGAGAGAGCAGGGGTCTGATAAGAGGCCTCGTCATTCTGGTGATTTTGGTGGTGCCTCATCTAGAGGCAGGGGTACTTTTGGTAGGGGCCATCCTCCCAGGCCATTACAGTCGGCGCTTCAGGCATCCCACAATGCTTCAGGGAGTCATGGTCCTTATGTGCGTTATTCTGGGCAACCAACCTACAACGCACCATCAGGTCCTATCAGTGCGCCTCCAATTCAGAGTTATCACTGTGGTTATCCGGCCCATTCGGCTCAGTCTCATTTTCAGCAGCCACAGCACCAGGATGGATGCTTTGAGTGTGGTAGTTTTGGGCATATCAGGAGGACCTGTTCGAGATTATTGGGCGGCACACCACAGTAGAGTTCTCGTGCCATGATTCTGGCACCGATTGCACCATTGCCTGCTCAGCCAGCTAGAGGCAGGGGTCAGGTAGCCAGAGGTGGAGGTCAGGCCGTTAGAGGTAAAGGTCAGGCTGCTAGAGGTGGAGGCCAGCCACCTAGAGGCCATCCTAGAGATGTAGTTCAGAGTGGTGGGGCCCAGCCCCGATGTTATGCTTTCACACCCAGGCCTGAGGTTGAGTCATCTGACGCTGCTATCACAAGTATTGTTCCAATTTACCATAGAGATGCTTCAGTTCTATTTGATCCGGGCTCTACTTATTCCTACGTGTCATCCTATTTTTCTTAATATCTGGTTATGCCTCGTGATTCTTTGAGTGCTCCGGTGTATGTGTCCACACCTGTGGGAGATTCCATAATTGTGGATCGTGTCTATCGTTCCTATATATGTGTCCATACCTGTGTCAAGCTTATTTGGCTTATGTCCGTGATTCTAGTGCGGAGGTTCCTTCCATGGATGCAGTACCAGTTGTTCGTGAGTTTTCGAAGGAGTTTCCTGCTGATCTGCTGGGGATGCCACCCGACAGAGATATTGACTTCTGTATTGATTTGGATCCGGGCACTCAACCTATTTTTTTTCCGTCGTACCGTAGGCCCCGCTAAATTTGAAAGAATTGAAGGAGCAGTTGCAAGATTTGCTTGATAAGGGCTTCATTAGACCTAGTGTCTCGCCCTAGGGTGCGCCTGTGTTGTTCGTGAAGAAGAAGGATGGGTCGATGAGGATGTGCATAGATTATCGGAAGTTGAACAAAGTTACCATCAAGAACAAGTATCCATTGCCGAGGATTGATGACTTATTTGATCAGCTTCAGGGTGCCATAGTGTTTCCAAATATTGATTTGAGGTCCGGCTACCATCAGTTGAGGATTAGGGCATCCGATGTCCCTAAGACAACTTTTCAGAACTCGGTATGGGCATTATGAGTATCTAGTGATGTCATTTGGGCTGACGAATGCCCCATCGGCATTTATGGATTTGATGAACTGGGTGTTCAAGCCCTATTTGGATTCCTTTGTGATTGTGTTTATTGATATTATCTTGATCTATTCCCGCATTCGAGAGGAGCACGAGCAGCATCTTCGGATTGTACTTCAGACTCTAAGAGACAACCATTTATATGCCAAGTTTTCAAAGTGCGAGTTTTGGTTGGACTCGGTCGCTTTCTTAGGGCATGTAGCATCGGTAGAGGACATTCAGGTGGATCCTAAGAAGATTGAGACAGTTCAGAACTGGCATAGACCCATTTCACCTATGGAGATCCGGAGTTTTTTTGGTTTGGCGGGTTATTACCGTCAGTTTGTG